GCTGTTATAATGTGGATGAATAGTCTAATTTCTTTACAACGCGAGTTATTTTACTTCAAAGTTAAACTATGAACGAAGTCGTAATATACGAGTAATGCCCGTTGATTGGCTGCCTTAGTTCAACGATTATCTGTTTTGATCATGTGTTGATAAAGCGGTTTCTGATTGGTCAACAATCCTATGACAAAGCCCGAAAATTGGGAAAGTCTCCCCATGGATAGAGCTTTATTAGATATAACTGATCCAAATAACATGGAGCAGAACGAAATGATATTTTCCCAAACTCCTTCAACGCACAATGTAAAGGAGGACGAACATACTGAATTGATTCGCAGAGACGTTGAAAAGGTAATGAAGTAGCTAATACATTCTCAATACCAATACATTTATAGATGTTTTTGATCAATCTCAGGGTGTTATTACGATAAACGAAGGTGATGAAAGAGAAGATTTGGCACCTGAACTTGTAAAACTTGAAAATATTCCAAGAGTAAGAATAAAAAGAAAACTTTGAACTTTGAAAATGTTAGTCCAACAAGACTTAACTCGTACTAAATTTTAGTTTGAACCCTTGATAAAACCTCACATTGATACGAGTTTTATGCTAGGTGGACTGTGGGGTTCAACACCACAGGTACATGAAAAAGAACGTATGTCCTTTATCCTTCGAATGCTACACTTTATTACATTTTATTAGTTTCGTTATTTATTTCGTAAACATTACAGCATCTTTTGGATATGAATCATTATTCAAATTTTCCTTAATTTATCAATCTCACATAAAAAAATGCGTCGATGAAATTTGTGAAGATCAGGTAATGTTAACTAAATGAACATGTGTTGTTTCAATGATGTTTGCTCAATAACTTTTGATATTCTAGCGAATAGTCATGGAAACTGTGAAATCAGCGGATGAATATTGTGCACAAATCAATCAATCAATAATAACTACACAATTACAAGCAAAAACAAATCATGAGCAAATTAGTGTTGGTAAGATCATTAAGATTATTAAATATTATTTATTACTTTATTTTCAAATTTAATGAGTTTAATTATGTATTCGCTAAATTTTTATAATTAGTTAATGGTCTCATAAAACAAGTGGAAAAAACACATAAATTAGTCTATGAGATATTTCAAACATTGAACAAATTAGAAAAATTGATACCAGATGAAGGGCTATTTGATGATAAGTCTTCAAGCTCCAAATGGCCAATAATTCACAAATTATGTTTGACCGCAAAACAAAAGCCAAGTCACTCTATAAAAATTCCACAACGTACGAATTCTATTGTCGTTGCTGTATCACAATATAATGTTTTTTCAGACAAACATAAAGATTCTGAACCTCTCAGCCCAGTTCAAACTACAGATTGGATGTCATCAAGTGTATCAAGCGTCCAAAATATTATTTTAGGTGAAAATATAATCTCTGATCGTTTCAGGGATATACTTATTAATCCGATGCGTGAAGGTCTTATTAATCCGATGCGTGAAGGTCTTATTAACCCGATGCGTGAAAGTCTTATTAATCCGGTGCGCGAAGGTATAAAGCGAATAATTAGTAGTCCGAGTATCAATTCTATGGTATCTACGTCAGAGCCACATTCGTCATTAAACAATAATGGATCAGAACCACCCATATCACCTATTTCATTTGGGTCAAACTTGTCTAATAGCAATCAATCACCACCTTCAGGATCTTCCGTGTCATTACTTACAGACATGCTTAAACGATCTGCATTGCAAAAAGAGGGTGATTCTCAAAATAAAGCAACATCAGAGAACTGATTCGGTCAAAAAATGAAAATTCAGATATTCATTCAATTTTTTTTTAATATCCGGATATTGGTCAAAAAAATTGAATGAATATCTAATAACTTCATTGAATATATTTATTGAACATTTAAATGTTAATGATTTATTCTAAATTAATGATTGGTTTGATATATAACTACAGTTTAATTTATATAAATAAAAAAAAGTTATTGTATAATGTTCTCGAAGTAAAAAAAAACAAAAAATATATATATATATATAGAACACCTATTTTCATCATAAAATTTACTATTTCCACCATTGCTCGTAATTTATCATGATAATATGTTTATGTTTATGTAGCTAAAAGTAATGTAAAAACATATTGCCTATTTTATCACTTATATATTAAATCTAAAAATTAATTTTGTATATATATATAAATTTTTAAGTTTTAATAATTTATTTATTATTTTTTTATATAAGATAAAGTAGGTTTTGAGCTATCTTCTAATATATTTTTTATTATTGTTTATAAATATTTTATTATATAATAAATTTTTTTTATAATTTTATTTTTTTTAAAAAAATTTAATTTTTTTTAAAAATTTTTTATATTTTAAGTATTTACAATAAATATACAATGGGCAGTACAAACACAAGATAAACTCTCGGGTTATGTAAATTCGGAGAACTGCGAATACAGAAGCCCACTTGGCAAGTCCTGAGTAGAGAGGTAGCACAGATCTTTAATGGAGCTACTATAAAGGTTAGACCCAGAAAACGGAACCCATGTGAACTGAATTAGATGAAATATGGAATGTTAGGATTATGCCCACACCAACCAGACCACTGCAAATAGGAAAGAGGATCAGAAATCTAGTTAGGGAGCTTCTGCAATTACAAACAAGTCATGGCGATAGTGGGAGACCTACTAGTTGCCCTTCAGAGGTATCTGCCTAGGCATAAAAAAAAAGTACATGGTTGTCAGACCATTTAGTTTGGAAGTTGAGATCCAAAGTTGGGTTTCTGCATCAACAAATAGGTGAAATTGCCAACACCAACTAGACTACTATCGAATTGAAAGAAAATAAGTGATTACATATCGAGTTATCTGAATTGGAAGTCTAAATAAAGGGAGCTAGATTACTAAAATACTAGTAATATATTGTGAAGTGAGTTCTGGAGTTTGCATGAATTCTACAAAAACAGAAGTAGATTTAGATAGCAGAGTTTAGCCAAAACTGGGGTTAAACTGTAGAAGGAAACAGAAAAAAGTTTAAGCTGGAAGAAAATTATAGACAAGAATCTTGACCTAGCACCATATACATTTTCAGAATAGACAAACTAAGCTGCAAGTGGTGGGTTATGGTTTATGTATATCAAACTAAAGTGCAGGTTAGATGCGATATAAAGTGGGAATACTGTGAGCTTTGTCAGGTTTATCTCAAGAATAAAGGACCAAAAGTAGGTTACAAAAGTGATGGAGGTCCGCTTTAAAGTCCTAAGTCATCATATGAATATATATTAGGGAGACTGGTTCATAGAATTAGAAAAATAGTTGCTGATTGATGTAGATCTCAGAATATATAGTTACAGAGAGTTTATATAGGTAATCTTCTAGTAGGTTGCAGGTACAAAAACTAGTATAGAATCTAGTAATAGGCAGACTACTTAAATAGATATTCAAAAAGCACAGGTATGATTAAATGTACTCTCCAAATATATATAATTATGTTTGAAATCAATAAAAGTATACTTGACTAAGAGGTCACCTTAATACCGAAAAAAAAACAATAAATATATATTGATTATCTTGTTTATTCTGGCAGTTAAAAGCTAAAAATTAAAATTGTCTATATATAAAAATTTTTAAATTTTAATAATTTATTTATAATTTTTTTATATTAAA